ATGCTAATGCTAGCTGCCTGTCGCGTTCTCTCATCCTGGCCACACCTCCGCTCTCTAACCCCACCCCCTCCCCTACCCACTTTGATGCATTTTTCAAATTTCRCCTTGGGGCGGAGTTATCTTTTCACAGGGGGATTAGATACCTCGCGACGCGGCGCGCATCAAATCAGACGTCTTTTAAAAATAATAAATTTAGCATATACTTTTTATCAAATCTTAAGATCTACTTGGCCTAACAACATCATTTAAAAACTGGTTTAAATTTCGTAGTCTCTGCTTTTCACTCGAGAGTCAGAGAGGGTGGCTCTTTACAGGTAAAGTTTTTTCTTTCTTCCTAAACTTTATTTAGGTCAGCCAGCACTGACAACGCTGTGCGGGTGACGTAATCGGCTCCGCGACATGGCTAGGGACGCATAAATCCCGTGACACAACAAATCGATAAATTTGTTGCCAATGCTTTTAATAATCTAATTTTATTGATTCGTTGTTGCAGCCCTAATCTGTAAGACAACAGTTTTTATTTTTAAGTGTTTGGGTGTTAAAATTCCACTGGTTATTTCTGAACTGAATTGTAAAAATGTGTTCTCCTGCCTGTTAAACTCCTTTTGATTTGAAATTTTATCAGTAACTATGTTTACATGCACAAAATTCTTTCATCGGATTGAAATGTTTTCATATTAAATAATCTGAATGTATCGTTTACATGCGCACAATCTGATCATGACAAGTGTTTACATGCACCAAGCTTTTATTCCGAATAGAAGCACTGAGATGCGCAGTTGCTAACTCCCCCGACCCTCAAAAAAAAAAAAAAAACAGAACAAAGTTCTACTTTCGTCCTGAACATAAACAAACATCTTCTGAGCGCTCAGAATGGACCTGCGACAGGTTTTAATAATGGTGGAGACATTACTGCACTGTCTGGTTGAGCTGCAGGTGACACACAAACCTTTTTTTTTGCGAAGCAGAGCAGGCTGTGTGTCTTCTTTATTGAATGAGAAAACTGGAGGAAAAGTTCTATCTGCTGGAAACTCCCTCCCTCCACAAAAGAGCAGAAACCGCTGGATGAAAGTCAGCAGACGTGCGTAGTCAGGTCAGTTTTCCACAATCAGAATAAAATGATCAGATTAAGTGTTTACATGCATGCTGTTCGGATTATCAATCAGCATAAACCACCTCGCTCGTTCCAATTACAAATTCATTCAGATCGAGCTGAATCGGGTCAGAATAATTCGAATGAGGTGTTTACATGACACATTTTTTTTCCGAATGGCCATTTAATCCGATTACTTATGTCCATGTAAACGTAGCTAATGAGCTTCAAAATCTAAATTTAACAAAACTACATACAAAAACAAATACTTATTTTGCATTTTTATTGGAAGCTAGCTGCTTCCTGAGATTTCGTAAAACAAAAATATTTAATTGAAATTTTATTAATTTTTCTAAAAGTAAAAAAAACATACCCCAAGCACCGATATATTAACAGATAACTTGCCTGATTCACATTGTAATTTTAACAAGAATTTAAGGGAAGCATTGAAATACAGTTAAACAAATCCTTCCCCTTGCATAATAAAATACTTTCTATAAAGTTAGATAAGACACTAAAGTGTGTTCTTTGAGGCTGTCCTACTGTTGTAAATGACCTCAGTTTAATGCTTTGCAGTGACTGCATGCCAAGCCCTCTCACACTTGAAGTCTGAATTGATTGTGCGAAAGAGAATAACTTTCCACATTAAAAACATTGGAAATGATTTGACTGATCGAGAAAATGTCAAAGAAAGGCCATCTTTCTCCATCTCAGACCCTAAAAGGAATAACTCCAGCTTGTTGCAGTTTGTCAGATTTATTACAACTCTGATCCACTGTGGCTTTAAGGTTCGACTGACCCTATTCAGAAAACTATATTTTCTAATTAAATGTGTTGTTTTTTTACTTTATTGACTTTCAACAACAGAAGCTTTATTAAGTCTCAAGCAATGCTCATCTGAAAGAAAAAAAGATACAGAATGTTTTTGTTTATTGCAAATTTTCTACTAGTGTGTGCACTTTATCAATAACTAAACCATGCACAATGGTACTGATAATATAGACTGTCACATGCAGCACATCACATGATGGTGTTTGTGTGGAGAGGATACAATAGGCGCCTCCAGCATCCAAGGCTCCATTGGTGGAAATAGCACACACTGACAGCACAGTCATGGAGATAATGAAGTACGCCACCAGGAACATGGCAATCGCTTGGTACAGTCCAGCCTGCCCCACCACAAAACCTGATGAGACAAAACAAAATCTAATAAATTACTATATGAAAACTTGATCAGCTTTATATGTAATATCCCTGCAGTGTGGAGAGGCAGAAAAGCCTTTCTGGTAAAAGCCCAGGATTTTAGAGGTTTACAATGAAGGAGTGAAATGCCAAGATTTGAAGGAAAATGATAATAATGACTTCATTATCAACACCTATGTGACTCAAAATGCTCAGATTAACAAATATTATTTTGGTTGTATCAATTTTAAACAACTAAAATAAACAAATGTATTTATTACAGCTGGAAAGCATCCAAGTTTATTCATGTATTTTACAGATTCACAACAATTATTTGATAAAACAGAAAATGTTTTTTACAGACTTGAATGACAATTATTTCAGTCAAAGTGAAAATTCTCTTATATAGATGATCTATGACACGATTATGCAATTCACTATTCAGTCAGACAGACAATGACTTAATTTAATATAAAATGGATTTTAAATAATAAAACATGGTAGATTTTTTTAAAATCCAAATCCAATTATTTTAAATTAATTTTATTTCATAAATAATTCAGGTAGATTGAATTTATTTAACTGCTGGATGTCCATCCCCTGAGCAGTTGGTTTTTAGTAACTGCAGGGCCCTGAGCAATTTAGATGAACAGCATACACATAAAACATCACAAAATGGCCAAGGAAGATAAACAAACAGTAAATTAATTGGAAGGATACAGATACTTTGCTTTAGAACTACCAAATAATCACATGTGGGTAAGTAAAGGGTAGAAGACATCAAAATAACAAAACTGCATCAATATTCTTTTTGTCATCACATCACAGTCCACTTAATCATAATCAGATCAAATTATGAAAAGCCTGAAGGTTTTCAACCCTACTGTGCAGCTCTGTATGGGACTTCTCTGAAGTGGGGAATTAGATTTGAAGGGTACTTGTCAGGCAGATCTAAGTTAGAGCTGATTACAAGTTTGAATTGATAAGATTGTCAGAACTGTATAAAAATTATTAAGAATAATACCAATGAGTGGATTACTGATTCTGGCTGAGTTTACTCTGTAATGTAATGTTTATGATTGTTCTTGGAGTCAATTGTACTCGCTGTGGTCACAGTTTTGTAAAATGTTCAAATATTAATAATTGAAGTTTTACAACAATTTGTTGCATGTGCAACTTTGTCACAGCATTTTTTGTTAAAACAAAGTTGTGTAGAAAATAATCTGGCTGCCTGTCAGCGAGCTCACAGTTTTAAGGAATTAAGATTCTGGTTGTCAACAATGATACCCAGTTTTTCCACAAACAATTGTTTATTTTTCCCCTCATTTCTAAAATAATAGTAAAAAAAACTATTCTTATAAACAATACACTGTTTCTAGAAATGTTTTTATCCAGATGAGAACACACACACACACAC